AAATTTTAAATTTTTTTAATTTTTTTTAAATTTATTTAAATTTTTATAAATTTAAATTGTTAAATTCGTATTTTATATATGTATATTGTTATGTATATGTATATGTATATAGCAAGTCAGAAACGTATGAAACAAATAAATATTATTAATTAAATTATAGAAATTTTTCACATTCATTTTCTTTCAAATTTTATTCAATTACGTGAATTTGCATTAAATTGAGAATATTGCAGCAGTTCATAAGTTGTAACAATATTCACATATTCTTAGCAATTATAATTCTTTATGAAACTTTTATTTAATAATTTCATTCAATAATTTTTAATTATTTAATAAAAAGTTGACCTTGAATTAAAAATTAATATAAAATTAATTGTATAAGAAAATATATTCAAAGAAATCTTATAATTTGAAATTTTGATATTCTTAAAAAAAAATATATTAACTAAAATAATATTACATTTTTCAATCTCGTGACGATGTCGACATAGCAACATATTAGAAAAACAAGCATCCTTACGTATTACGTATTTAAATTATGCGCGTTGAAATGAAACAAAGAATATTTCTCTCTTCATTGTTGTTTCACAAAGAAGTCCTCCAGTATGAAAAAATGAGCAACATGACAAAAACACCCTATCCGAGAAGTATAATCACCGCGGATCTAATAGTCCTCGGTGCAACTAGGACAAGAAGAATAATTTAATAGCTGAGCTCGTAAATCTACTTTGTGAAATCTCACGAAATTGTGCGGTTTTACAAAACGGTGATGGGAGATATTCGTATAAAAGACGTTGACACTTTTGTAGACTTGCTATACGCGAGTTGATTATGCGGGCATTAAAATGGGTATGTAATATTTTAACATGTGTTTAATGAATTTTTTTTTTTCCGTATTTATTATAATCAATAATTGTGCCATGCATACAGTTGAAGATATTGCTGTTAATCGACTATACCGCCGGACAAAATCTGAGGACAGTCCGGCAAGCCGGATATACTTACAATATACCAAGAATACCATTTACTTTACCAAGTCCTAGTCCACCGGCACTACCAAGTTATCCTGCACCAGTTCCTATACCATCAAGTTATTCTTATCCTGTACCCCCTCCTCGACCTCCACCTTCACCGCCATCTCCACCCCGTCCACTGCTTCCACTACCTTACGTACCACCATCACCACCAT